TATTATTATTGTTATCATTATTGTTGTTGTCTTACCCACTCTATATTACCAAGTTTCAGACAAATCATCCATTTAAACAAGATTTTCCATTGTAAGCCATGGTTATTTTTGGCGTCTCCCATGGCTGTTTGGATGCTGATCCTCAGGACAGGTGGCTCACGCGAACAGCGCCGTCCATGCCAAATTGTGCACGCGCCTCGGCTGAAAGGTGTGCGACTGGTGGCTTTGAAAATTAGAGGATTTAAAGTGGTTTAGCAAGCAAAAATATTGAATTCACTTTATAAGAGATTTAATTAATTACATATAGAATTCAACAATTAACATAAGATTTTCCGGTAAATTGGCCACACATCTGAATTGGAACTTCGACAGCCGCCACAATACATGACGCCTAGGGGTACGGGAATCATGCCCCACCAGAGAGTTTAGTTTGGTAATGAATTGTTTCGATTCAGACAGCTCAGTCTGTTTGTGTCTTATCTAATTTATCTATGTGTTTCCTGCTGCGGGTCAGAGTCGATTCATAATGTCTCATATGTTCTATGTCAAGACTTAGGTAAATTGTGCATATTGGATAATGATCATCAACCCATCAATAGGGACGACTATAGTATTTTGTAGATTTTATGGTTATATACCATTATATACTCATTAATTATAAGGATTCTCAGTGCGGGATGGATGACAAGAAACCATATCCACAATCCACATAACGTTTGACCAGGCGGCACGGGAATGGAATTTAAGTTCAAATCACCACGGCTAAAGTGGAGATGTTCCAGCTACCCTCTGGTAAACGTTAACAAAAAACTGCGGAAAGATCGAACCATGTTTTTTTGAGCTAAATCAACGAACTTTCTATGGCAATTCGCAATAGCTATATATATATATATATGTTAGTTTACCAGAGGGTAGCCATGTTTATCATGTATATCATGGCAGCTTTTTCTTTGGTTATCCGATACAAGATCTCTGGGTTTGTTGAAGTTTCCGAATGGAACATCCGCCAGTTGGGGAATCGAAAAAGGGAAAAGATAATGTTGGACTGGACTCCTTAAGCAAATTAAAGTATGATCTCAAAATATTATAAAGGGGTCCAACATGTTTTCATTTAAGTCCGCTTTATTTAATTTAATTCCCCTTTATTCATTCTATTGAGATATGCTTTTTGGCAAATCAAAGTATCATTCTAGTAGACATGTGCACTGGGACCTCTGTAGCTGAAGCCAGGGGGCTGGTAGGCAGTTTGCGTCGCTAGGGGCTCCTTTGATATAAGAGTAGCACAAGATAGGAGGATTTGAATATTTGGTTAACATATGGGAATCTGCCAATTCATTCTATTGAGATTCATGTTTTTGGCAAATCAAAGTATCATACTACCCTTTATTGGGAATGATACCCTCTGGTAAATTAACAGTTCGACCCTGGCAGTCATCGGGCTTGGAAGACTAGTGAAACCATGAAAAATGGGTGATTTTCAGGGTCCAACTGTTTATTTTCCTGGTGGATTTCCCAACATGTTCCTAACATTTTCTCCATTTTTTTACCAGGGTGTAATAATCCAAGAACGGAATTCCTGGCGCATCTGCCACCATGAAAACAGATAACCGAATCACCGGATGGCTACCCGGCTAAATCTTCCTTGCTTGGAGGGTTTTTTCATGGGAAAATTCCCAAAAAATTGTCAAGTCAATGGATGATTTAGGGCTACCCCCATGACTGATTTTGGGTGCCCTTTTTTGTGCTGTTCACGGTAAGTTGGTGCAATTGTTTGTCCAATATCTGTTGGGTTGATGGATGGGGGATATAACTATAACTGCTTGGTGGTTTGGAACATGAATTTTATGACTTTCCATTCAGTTGGGAATCTCATCATCCCAACTGACGAAGTCATATTTTTCACAGGGTAGGCTCAACCACCAACCAGTCACCTATGGGGGGTTCCTACAATGGGGATAGCCCAATAGCTGGATGATTTATAAGGGAAAATCAACATAACCAGAGTATGTAACTATACTGGTTGGTGGTTTGGACCATGGACCATGAATTTTATTTTCCATTTCATATATGGGATGTCATCCTTGCCATTGCTTTCATATTATTCATGGGGATTATAAACCAACATAAACATAATGTTTGGGGGACACCACCTTACAAGATCTTCCGGATCTTCGGACCGAGGCAATACACGCACATTATCTACCAGGGCACCAACGTGCCTTGGCCGCGGCAGCCATTTCGAAAATCCCAATGTCTCATTCTACCCCTGTCTTTTGTGGATGATCATTATATCATTATCATACTGGGTAAAATCGAGTCATGTAGTTTGTCATGTGGTTTTTAGGATATTTTAGGATGTTTTAGGATCTATTAGGGCACAGTCAGTGAATTATGAGATATATATATATATATATAATACACCTGGGCAGGCGAACGGCATGTTGTTCGCCTAGGAAGAGGGCGAAAAGATCAGGGACATGATTCTCTTGGAGCCCGACGAGCATCTGGGACCCCGGCATCCCTCAAAGCTATTCATTCAGTGATGGATTCCCAACGGTGACCTTACAGTAATCGTGGTTCTGATTGTTAATGACTTATTGTTCCATGATTTACATAATTTAAATTTTTTGGGGTTTTGCAAAGCAGCTTCTGAGGCACAGTTTTGAAACCCTGACATATAGTCTCTGAGAAAAGTGCTGAATTTGTCTTGGAGTCTTGGAGGATACCGTAGCCTAAAAGGCCATTTGATATCATGTCATTGGGAACATGATGATCAACTGATACACTGTGTTTTTTCCCGAATGCGTAGCGAAGGGTTCCCGTTTATAGTTGGGGGTCTGGGGGTTCGACCTTTGTTCGCCGCCAGTTGGTCGGCGCGTCGTTTTTCGCGTCGTTTTCGCGTCGTTTTTCGCGTCGTTTTCGCGTCGTTTTTCGCATCGTTTTTCGCGTCGTTAATTCGGTGTCTATAGGGGAAGCTGCAAAACCTCGTGCTTTTTGCTACGTGGATGTCGCAGTGTCTATAGGGGAAGCTGCAAAACCTCGTGTCTTTTGCTACGTAGATGTCGCAGTGTCTATAAGGGAAGCTGCAACACCTCGTGTCTTTTGCTATGTGGATGTCGCAGTGTCTATAGCGGAAGCTGCAAAACCTCGTGTTTTTTTGCTATGTGGATGTCGCCGTGTCTATATTGTAGGGGAAGCTGTAACACCTCGTGTTTTTTGCTATGTGGATGTCGCCGTGTCTATAGGGGAAGCTGCAAAACCTCGTTTTTTGCTACGTAGATGTCGCAGTGTCTATAGGGGAAGCTGCAAAACCTCGTGTCTTTTGTTGCGTCGATGTCCCAGTGTCTATAGGGGAAGCTGACAAACTTCGTGATTTTTGCTACGTGGACGTCGCCGTGTCTATAGCGGAAGCTGCAAAACATCGTGCTTTTTGCTCCCTGAGTCTCGGAAATTAGTAAAAATTACATCGCAAAAATTTAGGTATTTTTTTCGATTTAGGTCGAAAAATTTACGTAAATTTTCACCTAAATTTTGGTCACCTAAATTTGCACCTAAATTTAGGTGCAATTTTAGGTTGAAATTTAGGTGCACATTTAGGTTGCAAGTGCTTTTTTGGGATTTATGTTTTTTTGTTTTATTTTGTTAAAAAAATGTTGTTTGACTATATATTTTGTAACGCTAGGGGATTCTTTTGATGATGAAATTTGATGGGATGTGTTGAGATTTGTGTCAATGTTAGTGTTGTAGATTTAGGAAATCAGATTAAAGAAGAGCTTACTTTGGTTATTTTTGGTTGTTGTTACTTGAGGATGGAATGAAATTCTGTGTGAATGTTTGATGTTTCTTTGTTTGGCTCTTACTTGTGTCGAAGCCATCGAGCATTTGGCTGTAGTTAGTGGAAAGGTTGGTCTAGAGTGAGGCTTTTGTGGCGTATTCAATGTCGAAGTTGGATGATGTGGTGAAATCCAAGTTGGCAGCAGCAGCGGAGGAGAAGTCTTCCAAGCAAAGTGGTCGTTTCAGGCTGGTGGCCGATGCAACGATTTCTGTTGCAGCCATCCAAGAGGTTTTGACACGGCATGTGCACTTGAAACAGGAGAAGCAGATTTGGGCTCTGATTTGCCCTCCGCCGTCAGGACCTTTGTCTTACGGCTGGCATAGCAAACCAGAACCAGAGTGGCTCATGAAGGTGGCATCTTTACTTTATGATTTACTTGAGATTTGCCCAAATACGAAACTCCATAGCAAGAAGGTGGTGGCCGCGTTGAAAGCCATGCAGCAGAACCACGATGTTTTCTTCCCCGAGACAAAGCATGCGACGGCCTTGGATATGATGGACAAGGTCGATGTGACTTTGCGAGTGCTTTTGTCCATGCTGCGTCAGTTGAAGTGTTCTCACATCGCGTCCAAGAGAACGTACAAGATGCTGAGTAAGGTTGAGCAGTGTAAGTTGTCTGCCTTGTTGGATCGTGTCATTCTCCCTCCACAGTTGCTTGCTGGTGAGTCCTTTGACGAGGACGACGAGAAGTCAGGTGCTGACATCTGTATGTCGGCATTCGAAGGTTGTGAACCAAAAACTTCCATGCCTGCTAGCTGTGGGGTGACAGCGTTGGTTCCTGTGGAGAAGCAGGAGCAAAAGGTTGCTCGATCCAAGCTCAACAAGGTGTCTGCGACACCGTCAGGTGGATCAAGGCTCATGAATCCCTTGCCTGCCATTTTTGGCAAGCTTCTCGGTCAAGACAATGTCATTCCTGCAGGCGCTGCTGGCTTTGAGCCTATGAAGTCTGCCACCAATGTGCTTGCATTAGCGATGCAGCATACTCCAAAGGCAGCCTTGAAAGAGAAGAAACCAAAACAGAGCAAGAAGTCATCCAAGGGCGACAAGAAGACATCAAAAAAGAATCCAAAGAAAGGCAAGGTAGCCAAAGGTTCTCCAAAGAAGAAGCCTGTCAAGGGTCGCTGCGTCGGGCGCAGCTTCTGAAGGATTTATCCTTGTCCGAGCTGATAAAGCGTCGATTCATTCCTAGTGGGTCGAAGACCAACCCTTTTGCTGAGCAGGTCCGGCTCTCCTTGGAAGCTCCTAATGTCGATTGATGTACTGTTTGCTTTATACAATTGTACTGTTCATAATTTAATTATCATATCTCTGTTTCAAGGTAGCGAGGAGCGTAATGAGCTCGACATGTGTTTGCTTCGGGGCGTTGGATGTTTCTAGCTTGAACATCCGCATTTACATTCATTGAGGATTTCGTGTTGATCACGACCTTGAGAAGTAAAAGTATTCACTTAGCTGCTTCGCTTACTTGCTCACTGTCTTTGCGTCTTCTTTACTTTGGTATAGTTACTTGTGTTCCTTCAACATCTTACTTGTGATTCCTTGGATTGACGTTGTGCCATCCACATATGTATCACTGGATCAAGCGGGAACATGATGCTACACATCAAAAAATGCAAGCAGCAACCTCTTGTTTTGCATATAGTCACCTCATGAGACTAGGAAAATGCTTCAACTCTGTGCCTTTTTTTCTTACTTCCGTGCAATGGTGTATAAGCTGGAAGTTCGAAATGTCAACTACCAAGTGATGCCAGATGAAGTGAGAAACACTTTGCAGGCCTTGCAGGTGGCAGATGGCTTGCAATCGATTCGCCTAGATAGAGCTGAAGGGTGGAAGGAGCAGTTCGAGAATCTCATTCGCAAATGGGGTCCGGACTTTCTCTGTCAGATGGTCTTGATGTTCAACACCGAGGAACAGGCAAAGCTGTGTGCTCGTGTTCTTCACGGACGGTGGGTTGCAGGTCTCAGTAAGCCTGGAAATAAGACTTGCTCCTTGGAGAGATTTTATTCTCATATTTTATGTTATTTCTTTGTGTCACTGCCACCAAAACTTATTTTCGCTGAAACACCAGGTTTATCCGCACTGACCTTTGGAGATCCTGACGGTCCTCAAGGTGTATCCGGGTGCAACATTCCTTCCGCTCAATCTGGAGGTTGTCGTTCACATTTACCTATCTATCCACACTTTGTCTCTGTTGACCAAAGTGCTTTGCGTCCTATGTTGCCAGCTGCAGCAACTATCCGCCAACCTGTCCTGCATCTATGTGCTGGGGAAACTCCACATGCTGTTTCTGCACCAAATGCCATGGGCTTAGCGTCGGTTCCACGACGTCCTTCATTATCTGCGACATTTCGCACGAATGATGCGCCTGGAGATAGTACAACTGGGATTCCCTATGCTCCAGCATCTCATTCTACATCAGTCGCACGAAGAAGTCGATCACCTGTACGACGTGTGCCCCTTCAGAAGACTGATGCCTTTCCTTCGGCCTCCTCCATCTCTGATGTGCAATCAGATGATGCTTTGCGAGCCTCTTTGCGTCATCTTCTTGCAGATGATTCTAGCTGACGGAAACATTGTGGCACTTTCCGCAGGATATAAACAAAGCAAAGAAAGATTCCTTGCGGATCGCAGCCTTTAGTTACTTGAGATACGGAAATAACGGTTACTTGCGAGCTTTACCAATTACTTGTGTTGTAGCTCTCCGTTCTTGGCATTACTTTTCATTACTTGTGTCCATTGCCAACATTCCATGCCTGTGGTTTTCTTTACCAGGAATCGTGAAAGAAAAGGTGGCGCAAGTACTATCAAAGACCAAATAAGCATAGAAATTAATATAGAAATATGTTTCTATTGTCAGAGACTTTCGACTGTTGCAAGCATTCATATTTCTCTTCGGCAATCGCCGATCGCGCCGTGCTACCTGTGCCATGCGGCCCTCTGGTCGTTTGCTACCTCGTGTGCACGTGTCAAACTTGCGCTTCGATGTGACGAAAAATGAGATCCGGACCGCTGTGTATGATTATGCTGGCGTGCATAGGTCATTGAAGGAGATTCAGTTAGTTCGAATGGATGAACCAAACTGGAAACCAGAGCATTGCAGCTGCTTCCTGAAGATAGACAATGTTTCCCGGATGCGATAGTTGCTTTCTCTGGGGATAACTTTTGGGGAGTCACTATGCGCATAGCTTATACGCAGCTTTACTTGAGCTGATTGCAACATGTCACACTTGAGGCTCCAGATGCGGATTGGGTGGTCGAGCAACTCAACCAGCGTTACGATCCAACTCTGTGCACACGGTGACTAGATCTGAGTTTGTATTATGTGTTACCTTTTCGTGTGCCTTGCTATGTCTTAGCTTTCCAATGCTGGTATTCTGACAGTTTCCCCCCATGCTATGTTTATTTTTTCCGTTTGCGTCTTCTCATTGCTGAGGCGTGAGAAGCCACTCAAAGTAGAACACGAAGATTTGTATCGGAGAAGCAGATGGGAGGATCCACCGCATCCTGCTCACAGAAGCGACCTGTGTCGCCACAGCCTCGTCCAGGACAAGGTCTTCCTCAGGGGCCCATGGCTTCATTGCCGCAGCAGGTGAGCGAATGGACCATGCCACCAACTCAACAAGACGGAAGGCAGCAGTATGGCATAGGGCCTTCCAATGGCTAT